ATACATTAGCTAAAACCAGAACTGTTTTCTTATTCGAAGTTCATTGTAGAAAACGCTCAGAGCAATGGAAAAAATACGAATAGGTACCTAAAAATGAAAAAAAAAACACTCGAAAAACTCTACGATACATAGGGAGACGTGAAAGTTGCTATTGTGTTTTTATTCAACTCAGTCAACCAAATTTTAGGGCCGTAATTTAAAAGGGAATAATTCACACAATTATAATCGAATATTACCGAAACATCCCGAAATATAAAATTGAAATGAATTTCTCAGTATGAAGTAAACGTCTACGATCCAAAAACTACAACAAAAAATACTTGTCCGTATTTAAAAATTCAAAAATGGGGGTGACCCAAGTCAGATGACACCCTGTATAAAAGATATATTCTGAGAGCCCACATCAAGTGCCAATAGCAAAATGTGGACAGATTTTCAATATGTCTACGAATAAAGAAGATATAGACAAAAATATAATTTAGGATTTTTTTGTTTTTCCTGTATATCTCCAGAACCAAAAGAGCTACATTCGATTTCTTTACATCATTGAATAGATCTCTAAAATACACAACTTTGCCACAATTTAACAGACACTCTATCTCTCATCGTTTACGAAATCCCCATGTACAGAAACGAATTTGAATAGCCCTGTATATTAACCATGAACAATCAATTTTTCTTGAATGGTGGGAATACTGCTACCAATATTTTTGTAAAAAGTGTACTTGTTCATGAAGGAATGAACAGCTTTTATTTGATTTCCGTACTTTTTTATGAAAGTTCAATTTTGTCAAGGTACGCAAATTTGGTGGACAACTGAAGTGAATCTGGCATTCGGAAGACTCGAAGAGGGCTATGAAAACGCACTGAAGGATTACCAGAAAAAGCAAATCAATCAGTTGAACGCACTAATCAATCTCCTCCTAGGCGACCTGACAGCGGGAGAACGACAAAAAATCATGACCATTTGTACGATCGACGTCCATTCCAGAGATGTAGTGGCCAAAATGATTTTGGTGAAAGTTGAAAATTCCCAGGCGTTCCAATGGCAGAGTCAGTTGCGGCATAGATGGGATGAAAAAGAGAAAGATTGCTTCGCGAATATTTGCGATGCTCAATTTCGATATTCTTATGAATATTTGGGAAATACACCGCGATTGGTGATAACTCCACTCACTGACAGGTGCGGATTTTTTCTAACTCTTTCAAGGAAACCACTAATATACAAGGTTGGGTAGTCCGCACGACACGGACTCTGTAAATCAAACCATTGATTCTTTGGGGAATATCTCCATTCCATTATATGTTTATCAAGGCTGCAAAAGGAAATTATTTTGGAGTACCAGGGTGGCTCAGAAAACTGTGACATATCAAAGTTGTGTTTTTTAAATGGTACAGCCTGTATTTCTTTACACTTTTGAATAGGCCAGGAAAAAATAATATGATTTCATATAAGGTATTATGTACCTAACAGAAACCGTTCTCGAGTAATTACCTTTTTTATGAAAATGCAAGGTACAATTGGAAACTAAATAATATCGACCCGAAACCGGTCGTATTGATAAAATCTACCAGTGGTATTCAGACTAAAGTGTTTTTATTCATTTCATTTGAAAAATTTCCATCAACCTTGTCCTTCAATTCAATATCAGCGCGATATAGTACGGCTGTATCATCAGCGAAATTAATAATAGTAGGTACCTTCTGAATTGACCCTGAACATAAGTAGATATTAAATAGGAGAGGCCACATACCGTTCTTTGGGGGACTCCATATTCTATGGTACACAAAGAACTAAGTGTTTCATTTATTTTAACGTACTGTTTCGTATCAGAGTGATATCTTTTAAATAATTTCAGCGATGTCCCTCTGAAAACGATGTTTTCCATTACATTTATCAATTTCTCATGTGAAACCGTATCAAAAGCTTTGGCCAGATCAACAAAGACACAAAGCCTTGATCTATATACATATAAGCAAATTGTGAAATTCCCAAAAAAAATCATTGGTTTGGTTCATAAGGACCGTGTCATATGGGGTGCCCCACCCTGTATATTCATATATTCATATTGACGATTCTTAGAATCACTTACATCTAACAGTTATTTGTTCAGAGATCAATATTATGATGGAAACAAGACTATGCGATTTGATTCAAATGAGGTGAATACATTCAGCCCAAAATGTAAAGGGTGTTCCATAGTTATTGTAGGTATTTAATTTTTCATGTTTAGCCTTATGCTCTGTGAAAAACCAATTCTATCAAGTCAAGTTGATGAAGAAACTCAAGATAGTTTTATTTACAATAATATTTTGAATTGTTTTATTAAGATATCTAGGTTTGGTATGCTATAGTAGTGTAAAACATTATGCAGTGTATTGTTACTTCCTTAAATTTTTTTATCGTATTATTCAGAAAACCAGGCTCACCACCATCAATTTTTGGCTGCAGTCGGAGACAACTGCAGCCAACATTATTTTCCGTTTAGCTTCTCATTTCAGTGAAGTGTGATTCATTTTATTATTTCAAATACTTCCTTCATTACGTGATCGTGATATTTCAATGGAACGATTGGACTGGATTGATACTTCTACAAACAACAGAAAGAGCAGTATCTTTTTTATCTTCGGAATACATTGTGATCATGCCAATTTCTGTATAGTTTCAGCGTAGAACTGTTTTGATTCAATAACTATGGCAATGGATTACCTTTCTCAGTGATGTCATTGAATCATATATAGTTTATACATCATTATACAACTATAATAATCAAGGACCCTCCACATCTTCGACAACTCGTTTTGCAAATGGAAGCCTATTTTGAGTTCTTTCAACTGATTGACTATCACCAGTGTTCAATTTATGATTTATCCATCATAGAAATGTTTTCGAGGCGAATACATTTCTTGGAAAAAAAATTTCTTCAGAAACAGTTTTTTGCTTCTCTTCGATTTGAGGCGTACTCTTTCTCTTCTATTCGAACTTTTATAGTGAAAACTAGTCTTGTTTAGTTACCTATATTCAGGCACGAGTGATTATTCATCCCGATTAAACTTCTATGGTTACTGCAATCAAGACTTCAAATTTTCTGTTCATTATCATTATCATACTCCCATAGTTTTTGCATATATGGATATTATTGAGTGCCAATATTCATATTCTACCAGTACAAAAAAATAAGTGAGGAAAAAATTTCATAATAAACGGTTTCATTGAAAAAAAGGATAATAATGATGATAATCTCACAATAACCAACTATTGATCCCCTAGAATCTACTTGTGGATTTTTGTCAGGTACCAATGGATCCTGAACTAGTTGTCAAAATTCACAATTTCAAAAGTGGAGAGCTGCATAGTTCTATTTGATCATTGAACATTTCGAAATTGAGATATAAAAACCTCATCGCTAAACTTATCTACACTTGTCAAAGTGTGATTCAATTTTCACGCCTATAGCATGAAGATTGAATAAAAAATTTTTATTATCAAATAAATGTGTTCAATGGTGGATATTCTTATATAAATAACGTTGGATCCTCAGTTTTGGTTAGTGATATCGAAATCAGTAATGACAAAATCAGAAGAGTTTTCAAGATGAACCCAACTCTAGAAAATGGATAACTAATATATTGATTTCTTATCAAATTACAGTGATCCATTGTTGTTGATAATAATATTGCACAGCTCACATTACACTCGAAACTGACTGATTTTCCATTTTTTCCAAGGTGTTACATAACGTTGACACAGAGCCTCCACTTGATAATGGGAGGTGCCCCCGCAGGTCCGGCCGGCACTGGTAAGACAGAAACTACCAAGGATTTGGGTAAAGCACTGGGAATGATGGTGTACGTATTCAATTGTTCGGAGCAGATGGACTATAAGTCCATAGGGAATATTTACAAAGGATTAGCACAGACAGGTTGTTGGGGATGCTTCGACGAATTTAACCGCATATCTATTGAAGTGCTCTCTGTGGTAGCGGTACAGGTGAAAATTATACAGGATGCAATCAAAGATAACAAGAAGAAATTTTTATTTTTGGGGCAAGAAATTGGAATGATACCTACTGTAAGTACAAAATTATTCGATAATTTTTGTACTATTGAATAGAAATACATCTTAAAATATTTTCGGCATTCTAGATTTCATTGCAATATAATATTGATGTGGATGAAAAACAAATTATACGACTTGTACTTTTTCTTGAACTGATAATATAAATGACAGAGATATTAATTTTTCCTAAATATAACTCTGAGTATTGAGCGCGGTTGATTGAAAATGTTGGGGCTTATTAATAAAAATTGAATGGGCTGTTTATTGATTCTTTTGTAGACTATTCGGATAAGCGCTGTCAGCTTGGATGAAAGCTAAAATAATTGTTACCTACTGAATTTGATTATTTCACATTTGAAAGTTGGGAGACACGAGAATTTATACGTCCAAAAAAATATGCATAATATGGTTGAATGAAATAATTAAATTACATTGAATAGGCAAAAAACCACTGAAAGCACATGGGCTATTTCTTTCAATCCAATTTTTCTTAAAAGCTGCCAATATCAGGACAATTATTGTGATAGTAACTCCTACAAAAAAGCCAAAAATGGTACTGTTGTTTTTGGAGTTGTTAAGTTTGTGGATTGGTTGCATTTTCTTCCTCCCAGCAAAGATAAGACGAAATGTTGTGTGTTTGATAACTGGAGCAAAAACTTCGTCATAATCATGATCATATTTTTAAGAAAAACCCTGAACAACAATCGTTGCTTTATATCTGGATATATTGCCTTGATTATCGGTTTTTAATTTAAAAATCCATTTGCTTTCAATTGCCGTTTTATCTGGTGGTAATTCAGTCAATGTCCAAGTATTATTATCTTTCATGGAACGTATTTCTTCGTCCATAGCCTCGATCCATTTGTTCGCATCTCTCCTCTGTAGAGCTTCATTTCTACACTTTGGCTCGGTTTGAATGTTTTTCACTGAAAATTCTTCAGAATATTTCTTGGCTGGAACACCTTTATTTATTCTTTGTGATCTTCTCAAACCGTGAACTTCATCTTGGATTTCCGCATTACTTTCATTCGAGGTTACACTTTCTTCAACTTTCTGGATACCAGTCTCTTCATCAGTCATTTCTGCAGAGTATTCAATATTTTCTGTTGGAAATTCGGCGTTCACATGAATAATTCCATCAGAAGTTGTAGATTTTCGACAAAATGATATTTCAACTTCACTGTTGTCATTTTGACATTCACAATCACTTCTATTTTTAGTGTTTTGAAACTCGTTCATTTGATGAAATCCGCTATGAGCTTCTTCTAAAACATGTACATCTCTGCTAATGGTGATTTTTCCAGTGGTTCTGTCAAGAAGTCTATATGCTTTGGAACCAGCTTTGTAACCAACTAATACGAATTTCTTTGCCTTTTCACTTAATTTATGGCGTTTTTCTTTAGGAATATGTGCATAAACAATACTGCCAAAGGTTTTGATGTGATTTACATTTGGTTTCTTCCCGTGCCATACTTCAAAGGGGATCCTATTGGTTGACCTTGTCAGAACCAAATTTTAAAGTAAATTTGCTATCATGGTTGCTTCGCCCCAATAAGTATTTGGTAGATCAGCATCAATTAACATGCACCTGACCATCTCTGTTAAATATCTATTCTTTCGTTCAGCTACACCATTCTGCTGACTTGAATATGGCGCCGTGAGTTGCATTTCTATACCTTCATTTTTCAGGAAATTCCTAACTTCTGTGTTCATATACTCGCCTCCTCTGTCAGATCTGATGATTTTTGGTTTTCTGCCGAATTTATTTTCGACCATTCTGACGTAATCTTGAAGTTTCTCTGATACTTCGGATTTCTGACTGAGAAGATAAATAATGGAATATCTACTATAATCGTCTATGAAGGTGAGTATATACTTCTTTCCTCCAGGAGTTATAGTACGCATGGGACCACAAACATCACTATGCACCAAATTCAATACTTTGGTAGATTTTGTCAAAGATTTCTTTGGGAATGATTTTCTTGACAGTTTACCTTTAATGCAAGTTTCACATGTCAATAAAAGTCCACAATTCTTGATTTTCATTCCATTCACCATGTTTTTATTTGTAATTTCTCGTATAATGGTAGAATCACGGTGGCCAAACCTTTTGTGCCATAAATGAATGCAGCCGTCATTACAGCCTTCCCATACAGTCATTGCTGAACTGATTCAGTTTATATAAATCACTAACCAGCGTTCCTTGAGCAACAACTGTATTATTTGATTTGATGAAACAATGCTGCTTATCAAATTCGACTTTGAATCCAAGAAGTGTTAATTTCTTGACCGAAAGTAAACTTGTACCGAGCTCGGGTACGTAAAGGGTGTCCTTCACTGTGATTTCTGTTTTCTTATTGTCATCCAGAATACAAGTTAACTGTCCAGTTCCTACACCATAAGAACGAACTTTTCTACAGTCGGCTAATTCAACTTCACTCAGCGAATCCTTGAAATGCTTGAAAAAATCCTTATTGTTTGTCATATGACTACTTGCTCCAGTGTATATATACCATTCATGAGCTCGAGCTTTATCACTAACGTTAAAGCAGACATGAGTGTTTTCTTCAGTTTCTTCATTATCTGTAGAAACTACATTGGCTGTATTTGATTGTCTTTTCAATTTCTTATAATAAAAACAATCTTTCTTCATATGTCCCATTTTCTTACAGAAATGACATATCACATTTTTCGAGTTGCAGTGCTCGAATGCCTTTTTAACAGACCCTTTCTTGTAAACTTTTAGAGCCATTTCACTAGTTGATGTGGAATTCTCCTTCCGCCTATGATACTCCTGTACTAATTTGCCTTTTACCATTTCTAGAGTCAGATCACACTCTGCCCTTCCTTCTAATGCTGTTACCAGATTTTCATAGCTTTCTGGGAGACTGCATAAAAGTAGTGCTACTTGTAGATTCTCTGCTAGATTTTCTCCCAATGTGACTAACTGATCGATAATGCTCATCATATTAGCTATGTGCTTTTCCATGTCACCATTTTCAGGTAATGTTGTTTTACATAACCGCTTCAGCAGAAAAACTTTATTGGTGAGAGTTGGTTTTTCATATTGTTTTCTTAAATTCTCCCAAGCTTCTTTGGCTGTTTTACAATTCTTAACATGTATCACTTGTGAATCTTCGATTAGTAAACCAATTGTAGCTCTCGCTTTACCATCTTTTGCATCCCAATCACTGTTCTTTTGTTCAGGTGGGTTTTGATTGACTATTCTCCATAGTTCTTCTTTCAGTAGAAGCATTTCAACCTTGTATTTCCATATTTGGTAATTATTGCTATTCAGCCTGACTATGTTGAATTTTGTCACATCCATATCAACAACAGTTTTACTTATATATGCCAGTTTTATTGAAACGTGCCTGGGCCCATAACCTGTTTGAAGATACTTTATATTTATGATAAGAACTTTATGGAGACTTTTTATAATTTTTATTTCTGGTAAAATATAACAACTGAACTTGACAATATATAACAACACACAACCATAGAAACATCGAATCAAAAACATATAAATATAATGTGGCTCAAATTCATTTTTGTTGTTAATCTCCAACA